AAGCAGGACGCAACGCATAATTTGGGTTTTTTTTATTAAATACGGAAGAAGTAATGTTGGCTGAGGTTGCTTAGGGTCCGACGTTTTAATCCTGTTTGAGAACTATTGAACTTTAATTTCTAATATTAATAGCTGGTAATTGGATATTATAAAAATAACTTAAAAAATAAATGTAAATATAAATATGGATTTTTATGGGAAAGTGGGGAGGGCGGCTCCATCTTCATAGGCATATGTATGCTTCCATTTGTGGCGGGTACCACGGATACACATGCTGGTGGCTCTGATTATAGCTATGCTTATTCTAGCACGTAGCCAACCCATTATGATAGATAATAATCCTGTTTGTAATGTATATAGTAAGCCCTTTATCTGAAGTCTTAATATCGTCTATCTTAATGGAGTAACATGTTTGTAGCCGTTGTCCTGTACAAAGTAAAATTAGGGTTATTAGTTTTACTGAGAGACCCTTAAGTGGTATGGTGCAATTCGGTTGTAAGTTCTGTAGAAACTCGAGAACTGGTTTTGGATCCCACGTTTCATTGTATTTAGGTTTGCTGGGTCGGATGTTGTAGATTCCTTTCATAAGCCTTTTAATTTTTTGATTTTCTCCTACAGTATTACCGGTGATGAAAGATATTGCTGACCTCGCAGTATTGATGGTAGTATAAGAATGATTATTGTGAAAAAGATCTGTAAGGAACTCTAAAACCATATTTATATCTGTGGTAAATGGAGATGTAGTTTTACGGGTGCAAAATGATAACCATTTTTTCCAGTGTCCTGAGTATTGTTTTATGGTTGATGTACTGAGTGAAGAGATGATAATGTTTATTGCTGATTTGGGTATGTTCATGTTTTCAAAAATCTTGTTGATAAAATTCCGGCCATTAGTGTCGTCGATTTCGATAGTGGATGAGTCGTTCTGTCGGAGAAGTGAAAAGAATTAGTATGTGGCTCAAGATACACTGGCTCTGATTCGAGCAAGGACTGATATAAGGGAAACCAGGCTTGTGTTGGCCACAGGGGCACTATGACTATCCCTCTGGCTCTTTCCCCTTTTATTTTTTGTAAAATTTTTAAGATTAGTCTGTTTGAGCATGGGGGGAAGAATAGGTTTTCCCACGGAAAAGTGAAAGCGTCAGTAGCTATTGTGACAAAATTTTGGCATTTGCTATTTTTCTTACTCGCAAACAAATCTATTTCTGGTGTCCCCAACGTCTTAATGATCGTTTCGAACTGGGCGTTTGCTAGCATGAATTCTGTGCTTGGTTTTTCCCTCCTTGATTCGAAATCCGCGGTAGCATTGTCTTTAGATTTTATATATACAGCTTTTATAAAGATTTGCCTCCTCTCACACCATAGCCATATTTTTCGAGTTTATTTAGAAGAGGGTATTGAACGCTCCCCATTCTGTTTATGTAAGCTACCGCTGTAGTGTTATCGATTCTCAGTAAGCAATTACCACCTTTTTGGTTTTTTGCAAATTTCTTTAAACCGTGAAACGCTGCTAACAATTCTAGGTAATTTATGTGATGCATTTTTTCCTTACTATTCCAGAATCCATGGAATGTTTTATTGTTAGCTACGGCTCCCCAACCTGACTTGGACGCGTCCGAAAAAATTTCTAGTTTGAATTCTGTATCTCTTAGCCGGTTATATCCATTAGAGATATTTTTTGCCCACCACTGGAGATCAGTGTGTACGTCTTGAGTTAAGGTAATCCTTCCCTCGAAATTATTATTATTAAGTTGGAGAGCTAGGAATTTTTCTCTCTCAAATATTTTGGTGAAAAGCCATGAGTAACGTATCGCGGGACAAACAGATATTAGCGTTTCTATAAGCTTGGAAAATTCCCGAATTTTGCATTGCTTTTTTCTCCCAAAATGCGATATTAATTTCTTAATGTTGTGTCTTTTATTTTCCGGAATGGAAAGAGTCATGTTTGATGAATCGAAAATGAATCCTAAGAAAGTGCAGCTTTGCTTTGGGGTCAACTGGCTCTTACTAAAATTGATTATGAAACCTAATTTTTCTAATAACCAGGAAGTTACTTCGAAATTCCTTTGACATTCTTGAGCGGATTTCCCTAATAATAGGAAATCATCCAGATACACGACAGATGTCAAGTTCTGTAGTCTCAATGTGGCCAGCGCCGGTTTTAAAATTTTTGTAAAGACGTACGGAGCTGTACACAGCCCGAACGGCAAGCAGTTAAATTCATAGACCACATTGTCAAAAAGAAATCTCAAAAACTTTTTACTTTGGGCAGCTATTGGTATGAGAAAGTATGCCAGTTTTATGAAGTAGTCGCCTTGGTTAATTAAGTTGATGGTGGTTTTATAATCCTCTAGTTTAAAGTGATCCTGTTTTATGAACTGATTTAATCGTTTTAGATTCAATATGAATCTAAAGGAGCCATCGGGTTTCGGTCTTAAAAATGTAGGCGAAATGAACTTTATCGTTTGTAATTTCGCGCCAGTTACTTACAAAATGAGTAATTCTGCCAGCGAACTTCCAACTTGTCTCTGGTTCTACGGCTTCCTGGTTCTTCGATATTGGTAATGTCTTGACCTTTCCTGGTTCTTTTCTGATGTAGGTCTGTACCGTGTTTTGGGTTTCCTTTGAGGGAGCGCCAAATTGCGGATGTCCCAAGTCCTTCCGCCGTGAGAAGCACTCTTGTTGCTGACCGGTCCACTCTGGGGTTTGCTTCTCTGTAAGGACGCGGGTGGACCCCTCCAGTTTAACTGCTTTGTTCTCTCCGCAAATTTTGGAGTTTTTTGTAATTCCGACTTTGACTTCTGTACCTCTTTTGCTGACCGTATGTTGTCTAACATAGATTTGCCAAAAAGTAAACTGTCAGGAGTCGAATTTTGAAAAGTTTCTTTCAGGTTCTCATTCAGAAGGTTTAAAATTAGTGACCTTCTAATGTTCGACTGTGTATAAAATAGGTTGGATAGCAACCTAGAGGAGTTGCTGATATTTTCCGCCAGAAAAAATGTTAAGTCCCCCGGAATGTCCTCGATTTTGACAATTTTGTTGAGCACTTTTGCGTTCGCAGTCCAAGCCACACCTAATTGTTTCTGGTTATTGAGTAGACGAGTGTCTCTCGCCGCCGCCGCCTCCGAGATTGTTCCCTTCACCTCCGGATTGAGTTCTGGGGGTTTGATAAAGGTGCAGTTTTCTGGGATCGGGTACTTGATTATTAAATCCTTGGTTAAATCTTCTGATAACCCATTCCTCACAAGGTCTTTCCATCTTAGAGGACTAGTTCTGGGTGAATTGCTTCCCCTACCTCGGTTGGTGGATTATTTTTTTCTCCAATTAGAGAAAGTAATTGGGGGTCGAGATTTTCTGTCACGGCGTCATTGTGGGTACCACCTGGGTCCCCGGCGTCTTGTATTAAATTTGGTTCGTCTCGATCTGAATCGTCTGATAGAAAAATCAAAATTAGGCGGGAGCGGAACGAGTGTTTTTACATAAATCGCAAATAAGTACGATACCTGGCTGGTAGGTTCCCCGAACCCTCTGATAATTGTTTCAAACAATTTCAGGTGCAACCAAGTAAACACATGCGAAAAAAGTGATTCAATCACGTAAATATGTGTCGTATGATTGGTAAGTTCAACGAACTCTCTGACAAATTGTTTCAAACAATTTTCAGGCGCAATCACTCTGCAAGCTGGCGAAACCGTCACAGCGATATAACGAACCCTGTAATGCTACTCGTTGAGTCAGCTGAATTCCAAATAGTGACTACTAAAACAATAACGTGAAAGAAAAGTATTATTACCTGTTTTAGAAGAATCCGAGTCTAAAACAAGGATACGCCTCCGTTGAACTTTCTGTTCAAGAGATTTGAGACGTTTACTGAGCCTTTTGAATTCGTGATCGCTCTTCCTTTTGCCCATTTTAAAATGCACACAACGGGACTATCGTTCACAGCACGAAAAAGAGAAGTGAATATGCACCGCTACGACAGAGTAGGCGGTCGAGATTCGCTTAGTCTTCGCTTTAAAACGTCGTGACTCGGGCAAGAGAAAGAGATACTACCACTGATCTTCGAAGGTCGAGACATGAAATATAATTCCTTCATGGCGATATCACACTGCAAGGTTTCCTTCTCTGAGTTACTCAGCGTCGCAAGGTCCTATACAGCATACTCGAGGTATTTATCAGAATGATTTTTTCCGAAACTGATCAGTAATATAAATTCAAAACGTATCAAATAGGCATGCGCGAGAGTGGGACAGAGATCCTCCTTGTGGCCCTCTCTTTTGGATCGCGCTGGTCGGCGGAGCGCGCGTTCCAGTATAGTTCAGTGGGAGATACGTATTCTTTTCAAGATTAGCAGACGCATTTAAACGATTCTTCATGTCTCAACCGGATGCGCAGACACCTTTGACTTGATTGTTGGCGCTGTCAAATAGATAACCCCAAACACACGTAGTAGTACAGAACAACTTAAGACCTTCCTGCAGAGGCACCTCTAAAAAGCATTATGCGGGTCACTCTGTAATTGGGCGCAAGCCTGTTGAGGGCAGAACAAGAGAGATAATAAATAATAATAATAATATATATTCATTGTGCTAGTACATTAAAAGTAATGTTTACACGCGTCATAATAATAATATAGGTATTCATTGTGCTAGTACATAAATACAAAGGGAATATAGTAACCCCCGACGAGATCTTACTGATTGTGGAGTAAAAACTTCAAACGCGAATTGCGGGTGAACGGGACGTCTGAGGTGGGTACCGACAAAAGGAATATGGTAACCCCCCGACGAGATCTTACTGATGGTGGAGTAAAAATTTCAAACTCTAATTGCGGGTGAACGGGACGTCGGAAGTGGGCACCGATAAGGGAATATAATGGTAACCTCCGACGAGATCTTACTGATGGAGTAAAACTTCAAACTCGAATTGCGGGAGAACGGGAAGTGGAAGCGGGTACCGACAAAGTGAATGTGGTAGCATTCGACAAGGTTTTATTGATGGTGGAGTCAACACTGGCTAATAAAACACTGATCTGCCACACAAAAATGCGCTGAAGTGATACAGAGGATGAATGATGATTCTACCGAACTGCAAAAGCTTTTCCATGCCTCTCTCCTAATTTTCTTTTTACATTGCCTCAGTTGTATTTAAACAATGCCCTTAGGTTCACCTTGTAAGTCTCCCAGTCGGCTGTTTTTAGTGAATTTAGCCGTGTTGGGCAGTTCCAGTCTGTATTTTTGCTTCGCGAGCGATTTGTACCACCAGGAGTATTTTCAGAGTTGCTTGTTACTCCTCATGGCTCATACTGCATATCCGTTCATAGAACCTCAGGATTGTATCGCTCGGAAACGGTTACTGGAGGATGTTCGCAGGGTACGGAACGGAGTGTCGTGTCCACTGCTGTTAGACCGGTTTCCTATGCACTCTGAACTAGGACTGATCGTATACACACGGATGCGGACGATCTCGGGATCGTTATAACAGGAAAGTTTCTAAACACCGCGAAAGAGCTCTTCAACAAGTGGATAGGTGGTACAGTAGCCATGGCCTCTCCGTTAACCCGGAAAAGACTGAGGTTGTTCCATTTACGAATACGAGGGCGGACTCTTGAATGGCGTCAACTGGGTCTGACCAAGTTAGCGAAATATTTGGGAATTATCATATAAGACCTGACATAGAAAGGGCACATTGAGCGAATAAGTAAAAAAGTCACTGCATGTCTATGGGCATGTAGAAGGGCTTTTGGCTGTACATGGGGCTTGAACCCTCGATTGGTACTTTGGCTTTACACGGTAATGATAAGGCCAAGGTACGGTACACTAGGATGGTAGCTGCCATGAGCAGGGCAACTTACAGAAAGCAGCTATGTAAGGTACAGACGGTGGAGCCATGCAAGCCACGCTAACTTTGACTGTGGAGGTACTTCCGGGACTGCTTTTCATTTGTACAGACACCAGAGAGATAAGTTTTACTTTAGCGTTTCGTAGTGGTTTTAAATTTTTCCCGCGGAATTTGTTTTAAAATTTGTGTAATCGAGGCGAGTGGTTGCCCTTGCATGGACATACGTACGATAAGCAAAAATGTGAGCTTATTCTTTGCCCATTTTTTTAAATTTATATAAAGCCATTGTTAATTTGGTACTTTGGGGTGTTTGTGCCGTTATTCGGTAAGTGGGACTCGTTCGATAAACTTAGGATAATTGTGTTATTTTAATGTTTTAGGCCGTTGGTTAGAATTATAATTATTGCCTTTCGTTGGAAATTGATGAATACCCACCTATTAGCCAGGAGTTGAAGTAAAAAAGGAAGTTCCATTTTCCGCTACTCGGGTTACGAATAAAACAGGAGTGTTTCTTATCGTCATTAACGGCTACGATAAGGTTGAACTGCAGGTAACCTTTGGGAAAATACCAGGGGTCGTGCGAGACATTAAGTACGCCCTTCAGTTAATTTTTAGCTTGACGCCACGGCGCTTAACTCATATAAAAAAACATTTTTGTCAGTCTTACTCCTTTATCCCTAATGTACCCTGCCAAAATTTTAACGATTTCATAGTATCTGTTGTTACCTTCTTGTTACTTCCCATGCATTTTCTTTATACCGATTATCGTGATAATATTTATCACTAGATTATAGTATATTGCCGAACTAGATCAATAGCAGTTTCGTCCATTGTGTACAGCAGAAAGCACTTGTTACCAAAAGCAATCAAATGAAGGGATGGTTTAGCGAATCATTTTTTTTATCAATACGAGGTTTCTTAATTCTCAATTTCAATTTGGATATTTAATTTTTAGGCTTGAGCTCATTTCAGGAAAGCAAACCCGAAAAGGGACTGTGTTACGCCTAAATGAAAGTTCAAATATACCTCGGCGACCATATAAGTTTCTGCACTTTCCACATATTTAGAAAATCCTAAACATCAGAATGTTTTGAACAGTTTGAAGATTCTAAATGTACAGGTTGAGGATTATGAATATTTTGAGAATCTACATTATACAACCTTTTGAAAACACGAAAAAATTCAAAAGATATTTCAAAGTTTACAAAAGATCGTAAGATTTTGAATTTTTAGAAGGCTTTGATTTCAAAAAAATGAGCATTCTAAATATCTATATTTAAACGTCCGAAGATGATGGTCTCGTGTAATTTTTTGTACTTTTGTCATTAGTGCAGAATTTTCCAACTCGTGTGAGTTGTTTACTATTCTCCTTATATTCTTTCACTTAATTCGTTTTACAAAAAACTTACCCTACTACCCTTCCTATGCATCAGACAATATGGTTTGATGTTTTCCCGAAGAAATTGATGATCCCAGCATATCCAAAAAGAAAGAGTTAACAAAAAATTTTATTCCTTGCCGTTTACTGGACAAAACTGGTGAATATAGCTTTGCTCCACCCACATAACTAAAGAGAGAGTTCGACACCAAAAACACAAAATTTAGTTTTGCATATCACAACAATGTGTTTCCCTGATGAACAGAAAAAGCACAAAATTTAATTCTGGCATATCAAAACACTTTTTTATCTAATAAAATAACATGCATTTATTTTTGTATGAATTAGTATTTTATATACAATTAAGAGCTTTTGGGAACAAGGATGTGTGGTTATGTAATTCCATAAAACCGGTGCTGATGAGTTTGGTACGGTCGAAGGAGTTCTTAAGGATGTCATGCAAATAAGGGAGCTTGTTCTCTAACGAAAACGATTTAATGGCTAAACATAATGGGACATATTTGATTATGGAAAATGGTTCAAAATATCAGACAAAGAGAACAAAACAATAAATAATTTTCTCGTAAATATCGTCGAATTTTACGCCATTTTGTTAATTATGGATATATGTAAAGATTTAAGTTGGTTTGTCCATTTATCTAAGGCATTATAACGAGTTGCGTTGACAGTGGTACGATCCAAAAGTAGAACCTGATTAACTTGATCGATGCGACCATGAATAGTACTAACAAAATAAAAGTATTACAATAAAAATATATTGTACTATACTATATTTACCTATCTAGAATGCAAGAAACCAGCAGATTTTCGACTTCCATTACATCAATATTTAATTCCGTCGATATGTGAGGAATATAAATTCGCGTGTATGGATTAATTAGTTTAATCAATACTTGAGTTCTAATATTTCTCAGAAGATCTGCAACGGGAAGAGCATATAAAGGGTTCAATATACACAATGAGATCTTGCCTTCAATGTGTTCACGAATAAAAGGATCATCCATAATATTTTGCCGATTCTGTTTCAAAATTAATTCAAATTCGTTAATATCATTGGTTTGATAAGCGTTAACCAAATTGGTCATTGCCAAAATTTCTGAATCATTTTTGTATGGTTTCGCCTCTTGAGAATCAAATGGGTTGATTCCCGACTTCATAAGCCTAAAACATTTCCTTGCAAAGTCTGCATTTGAATTCCTGACTTACATATTCGCCAAGACTAAGTACTTGAGGCAAGTAGTACGACGAGGACTTCCGGATTCGTCGTAATTCTTAAACGCCTCAAAAAAGTCAGTGTGCGCCTTCTCAAATTCGCCTTCGCGTAAGTGCATTTTACCCCCACATTCTGAATGTTATACAAATGGTTATACTCAAGGTTATACATAATTATGAATTACCTCTTATGACTCCCATAATTAAGGGATGAGGAATTGCGGATTTTATATGAAGACTTTGCTCATACAACGCCTTCAATTTTTTGTTATTCTTTTGTTCGGTGTACATTTGTATTTCTAAAGCGTAAATTTCTAGAAGCTGCGTTCCCTTCTTAAGATCATCTTCACCATCATCCGTCTGACAGGACTGATGAAGCTGCTTCAAGATCTTGGCCAACTTATTGTAATCTTGCCTATCGTAGTAAAGTTTTCCTAGTTTGGTATTTGTCTTAAACCACAGCCTATCATTTTTGGCATCCTTAAGTGCTTCTAATGTCGTTTCATAAAAATCTTGCAGCAACTCCATCTTTAATGTAAAATTAAAATGCAATTAGTATTGGAATAACTCCGCAAACGCCTGACTTAAACTTAGATGTTGATGATACTCCATGAAATTAAAAGCCTAACAACTTTCGGATAAGCCATTACCTTCAACGACCACACCTTCTCAATTTATTTCTATTACCAGCCACAACATGCAGGTTTCGATCTCACTTGCTTACATCTAAGTTCAAGCATTCGTTTTCCACAATACATTCCGCACAAATAAGATTTGTACTTACATTTTTAGAAGTAGAAATGTAATCCAAAATTGAGTTAATTGACTTTTCGCTATGATTTCGTGTTACTGCACTTTTAATGTAGGTAAGTAATTGCTTATAGCGGACCATCATCTCCTTAAAATTAGACTAAAAATGATGTTTACGTTAAAATAACAAAATGAATGCAGTTGATAGTACTCGCCAATTTGAAATTAATTTTAATCATCTGCTTAAGCGCCTTGAAACCCCACTCTCCCTTTTCGCCGCCTTCCAAATCTAACACCCGTTGAAACGACGTTAATGCACTTTTTGGTTCATCTTCTTTTAAGGCCTTGCTATTGTAATATTGATTCTCAAGATCTACGTCGGGTTCGGAATTACTGTCCTCTGAATATTCCTGCGAAAAGAATCAAATTTATGGCAGTATAATGAAAGTGAGGTTAGGAAACACCTACCAGTCCGTAATCTTCTTCATCTTCGCACATAAAATCGTCCTCGCCGTCAGACATGATTTACGTGCTTAAGAAATTACAACTTCTGGTAACACGACAATCTTCCAAAAAGAAAAATCCAGGAAAGAGCTGAAAAGGAAAAATTTGTTGTGACATGAAGTTTGTACAGAAGAAGTATTCAGATTAACGTAATTACGTAAAGTTGGCGCAACAAAACAATATCTAAAGCATTGTTTCCACTTCCACTTGGGTCGTGGTCACACAAGATCACTTCTTTCTGAGTTTCTTCAAATGCAATAAACAAGAAAATTATAACTGAGCACAAACGTTTGACAAAATGGGTGGGAAAATTTTGTATAAAAAGAAATTAATTATAATACGTTCCTTTATCCCTTTCCTGACCATTTATACTAAAATCTGCCTCTTTAAATGAAGAGTGGGCTTGACAACATCAGCAAAGGTCGGCGTCGGATGAATCTTTTCCAGTAGTTGTTGGAACCGGAACCGATTGCCTTTATGAGCCTCTGATTGGAACTGGAATCGGTATTCAAGAAGTTATGATAACAGGAACCGATACGGGATTAGTGCCAGAAAACCGGTATCTGTCTGGTACGCGTCATATCCGGTTTCTTTCCCTATCGCCGGTGACTAATCTCGATGGCGGCTGTTACGTAAATATATATCGCAGTTTTCACTGGTTCATTATTAATCCATGAAGTGTATAATCACGCTTGTGGAATAACCTGCAGTGTACGACGAATTATCAAGTAAAAAAGAACAACACGACTTATAACTAATACTACAAATTTAATCAGTTGTAAAAATGTATAGGTATACAAATTGATTACATATTTTTATTTTTTGATGGAGCAGTCATATTACCACTTGAACGAATATCTCGAAAGATGATTTTATTGTTTATTGTTCATTGTATGCTTTACCTTACATTATAATTTATGTAAAATATTTATATTTATATTTACACATGACACATTGTTACGTACGTTCTGTTCTTATACCTACAAGTATATGGAATGTATTTTGTGACAAATAATAAATATGATATGATATGATATTAGATTTTTAGGTCGACCGCAATGCGTGCGTATTGCACCGAACCCTGGTTATGGAATCTCATATCAATCTCCAAAACCACCCTTAAACTTAGACTTAGTGCTGCATCTGGTGGGCGCGGCGTATACATAAATTATGTCCTTGGGTGGTCACATGCAAAAGGTGCACATTTCGAGGGACAAAAACACAGCATTAACAGCGGCTGCTGGCGCATATTTCAATTGCCTTTATTTTGTATAGTAGACGCGGCTAATAGCTATTCTCCCCATTGAACCCACCATAGAATCATAAACAGCCATACCTTAATACCACACTTACCTGGGAGTCCAACCCTAGGACTCTCCTAACCAAAGTTAGAGGTATTATCTAAACTCCATCTGAGAAGACTGACACAATGGTTGTCTGAGTTTACAAATCCAAAATTGCTGCCAATTCCATGAACTATCAGGAGAAAACCTAGAGTGAAAGGAAGTTCCGGCACTAACTAGTCGAGTTCTATACCGGGTGGTGCCTAGCGCGACGCAGCATAGGGATTTCAATGGTAATTTCTTTATAGCCAATTACTAGCTCCCCTAATTATTTTAGAGAAAAAGTCTAAATACGTTTTTATCAGAGAAAAAAATACTGCATCTGTTCATACGATTACTTATAATTTTCCGTTTTTCACTGCAGCCAAAACGTTGAATGTATTGTCGTTTTCCTGATGGTTTTGACGGACATTTTGAACGTTATTGCACTTGCAGTAGTGATTCAACACTGTACTGTTCTTTGAAACTTGCGCACAATTCTGTCTACTTTAGTACTGCTTGATGGAATCGGTCGATTGGGGTCCTTCACAGTAAATAAAGACGTTATTACTTGGCGGGCACAAAACAACTTTAACATTTCCTCTTTCTCTTCAGTTAAATACATGATACACAATTTTAAACAAGTATAAATTTAATATACGTCAAAGGCAAATAATGAAAAGTTATCTTTATCTTTATTTGTCATTCCACCAATCCTTGGCTTCGACACGTCATTGACACATCGCTGTTTTTTAGGTAATTCCAAGGCATATCTGATTTATTGTAAAATGAACCTTTTTATTTTGTCGATTTCTACGGTTTTGAAAAACGGAAAATTATTAATAATAGTATGAACAGATGCAGTATTTTTTTCTCTGAAAAAAACGTGTTTAGACTTTTGCTCTAAAATAATTAGGGGAGCTAGTAATTGACTATAAAGAAATTACCATTGAAATCCCTATGCTGCGTCGAGCGTCGCGCTAGGCACCACCCTGTATATTTTTTTGATTTTCTTGTCTTAGCTGCAAACTTGCATAATTGGCCACAAAGGTAAGTAGTTAAATCACATAAAATTTATATGGCACTCAGGGGTATAATCTGCGCCCTTTCAGTGGGGGTTGCCTTATTAGTCTGCTCCTTCGGGTGCTGTTCAGTAGCTACGTCATTTACGGTTTATATTTATTTATATGACTGGATTATCTAGCTTCTCGTCATGCGCAAAACTGCGCCTGTATTTCAAAACAGTAATCATTTCGGAATTTTCACCTAAATTTAGTACTTATGACTCTTTGTTCTGGGATAAACTTTTAAGATATATTTGCCTCTTATACACAAAGGTCTGAGATTTTGAACAGATAATTACGCAGCCGTACACGGGCCATACACACACTTGGTGTTCTTATTCCAAAAATAAGTGGAAATTTCGACAAAAAAAATGGAAACTTCGACAAAAAAGTGGAAATTTTCACAAAAAAGTGAAAATTTCTACAAAAAAGTGGAAATTCCCACAAAAAAGTAGAAATTTCAACAAAAAAGTGGAAATTTCGACAAAAAAGTGAAATTTCGAAAAAAAGTGAAAGCGGCGACAACAAAGCAGAAATTTGACCTTCCCCCGCCGCCCCATCGAGTGACCCATCATTTTAAAGGCCATCAAATATTTTTGTCGAAATTTCCACTTTTTTATGGGAATTTCCACTTTTTTGTAGAAATTTCCACTTTTTTGTAGAAATGTTCACTTTTTTGGCGAAATTTTCACTTTTTTGTAGAAGAACACCAAGTGTATATGTGGCCCGTGTACGGCTTCGTAGTTTTCTCATTTCGTTGACAGTACATTTTTACAACGAACTTTTCGATGTCCTTTGCCGCAAATGTTCATAATTTGTAGTAGCTTGAGGGATGAAAATGCATTCACTACGTCGTCGGGACACTATGGTTCCATGCATGTAAAAGTTGTGTACGTTTTACTTTCAAAAACATCTCAGGAAATAATTCATGCCCTCGCGAAATTTGATGGCCGTCTTGCACACCTTCAAGGTATAGGCTACCACAGCAAGAATTCCAGGACTCTAGGGCCATTGACTATTCCCCTAAAAGTAGCTCAACAGCAGAAGTGGGTCTGGAGCTGCGGACGGATAAAACGCAAACGCAATCGTATAATGTTGGGAAAAAAACAAAAACTGTCCGTCTTCAGCCCAGATGACGGTGCAATTTAGAGATGAGGGTACCTTGCACATGAAGTCATTAATTAAATGGAACAGAGGTTAAGGAAGGGGGGGCATGATGATTCAAGCAATGAAGCATAAGGGAATAAATTAAATAAAGTGGAAATTAACGGAAAAATAAATTCGTTAATCCATAATTTTAATCAATTGAAATGAATTTTTTCTATATATGGATGTGGATCCTACCAAAAAAGTGAAAGATAAACGAATATTGCAAGCAGAATTGTACCTACTTATTAGAAGAAGGTGAGGAATGAAGTGATCCCCTCTACATTTCTTAAAAACCATGCTACCTGACTACTGATCAACAGGTGAATTCTTGGTTTACCTGAAGTTCTATTGGGTTAAACAAATATAAACCTTATTATAAAATGATATAAGAAAGTTACTTAAGTCTTCAACTGCATTAATTAACTATAGGCCACTGGCACAATAGAAGAGGTCACACAAATGAACTCTAACTAAACTACAATTAAAATTTATTAATAAGTACATTTTGTCAAAATGAAGGAATATTGGCACAACATTGTTTGTAGTTTAAAACAAATAGCACAATGAGTCGAGAAGAAACCGTGTCGCAGAATAGTTTGTGTGAATCGGTTACGAAAGTCATAAATCCGTGTGTATATTTTTTAACAAATTTTACATTTGCACAATCTGTTCATCCGGTCGAACCTGCGACACCAGCCCTCAGTGAATACTTATTGCTGCCACACCATCGTCGATTAAGGGTTATACATGTGTTACCGAACGAGGAATTGCACAAATCGGTCGTCGAAAGTAAATTACGAATGAGTCGGAGTTCGCTATCAGAAGAATATTGGTTTACAAGATGGAATAAGCCCTTAAAGTTAGGAAACTGTAATTGTTCATTTAGAAGATCTCAACGTTTTTCAGTGCTACCATACGAAACTTCAAATGTGTCGCAAAGAAATTTATCGCAGTACTTCATACCACCGACTAAAATTATTAATTTGGAAACATTTGTCGAACGTCTCATTCAAGAAACACTCTTCGAGGCATTTCAAGAGTACCTCATGAAAGCAACAAAACGAAGAACTAAATGTGATAAAAGTACGGGTGGTGTTTCAAATTTAGCTTTTGTTCAGGAAGACGATGGCGTTATTTTAAGAAGACAAATTAAAAAAAATTGTTTACACACAAAGACTGCTCTTAAAAAGGTACGCAAATAGTAAGTCCCACACACTAATTTGTTGTTTTAGAAGCCAACTGTGATTTTGCTTCACGGCATTGGGAGTTCGGCCGACGTTTGGTGGCACATTATAAACACTCTGGTGCAAAAAGGTTATGAAGTTGTCGCACCTGACATGCTTGGTCATGGCTTTAGCTCGATTCCCGATCAACCTGAGGCATACAAATTTAAAAACTTGCTAAAGTACACTCTGGCACTATTCGACCAATACATAGGGTGTGACGAATCGAAAAGCTCAATTGTGATAGGTCATTCCTTTGGCTGTAGTCTGGCAACTGCACTCTGTCGGTATCGCTCACATCAAATTGTGCAGTTGATATTGATAAGCGGAGGTGGACCAACACCCTTAGCTCCACCTCCACCTGCAGACAACACAGCACTTACCAATTGCTTACGTACAGTCTTTCACCCATTGTTATTTTGCGGCATGAAAAGGTAGGTTTTCAATTCTGCTTCGAATGTTAGTTTATGAAACAATTCCAGAACGATATTCTATTCATTGAGAGGAAAGCACTTTCGAGTTTGCGACACAGAAAGTGCAGTACCAAATCATATACTGCAGTATTTTGCCGATGGACAAAGTTGGCCGGAGGGTGATGCAGCATTTCATCGCAGAATTCTGATTCCGACATTGCTAGTGCACGGTCTTCAGGATACCTTAGTCACTCTCGTTCAAGAATGCGAAATGGAAAGGGTACGAAAGCGTACTATTGCTACCTGTAGTGTAATTCGTGCTTTTCAGACAATTCCTCGGGCATTTCTAGAGTTAATTCCAAATGCGGGACACATGTGTATGCTAGAAACTCCTCAACATCTGAGCCATATGATTATGTGTTTCATTGATTGGTGGAGTAGATAAACCAAATAATTTGACCGCTCAAACATAGAGCGTACGACTTACCCTTTTACGTTTAGTATTTAACATACAAATTTATATTATAAAATAAATGTTATTTAGGATCTTTTGTTTTTGTATACAGTTTCTTTGCCACAACGTTTGTTACATACTTTTGTTCTGGTTGATATAACACGTTATTAAGTGCCAATGAAAATCCCTTGAAATTATAAAATATTTTCTTAAATTTAAATTTATTAGTAGGCAACAAAAAAACTATGTACCTACTCTACCACAGATAAAATACCCTTTATCTGTTACTGTACTTACAATTGGTCTGCACATTCAATAAGTAGTAAAACAGATTGGGTAAAAAACTTGAGGATATTTAATGAAATACCCCATTCCAAAAATACACGTAATAATAATTAAGAAAATTGGTACAATATTATTGTTATTATTGTGTTAGAGGTGGTTCCAGTCGATTCCTGCATTGCAACCTTTTGGTGTATTGTGTTCCCCAGTACTGTCTACCCTTCAAGAATACCTAATGAAATGCCATTTGCCAAGTCCACCAGCTTGCTGACTACTATAGTTGGTTGTGGATAAGTTTTATCATAAGGGAGGTCTGAAAATACGAGGCACAAGCCCCCTCTCGTTCCCATCCCTTTCCACTGTCAACATTACTACCACCAGGTTTCTGCAACAGAATTGATGGTAGTAACTTAACGCTATTCCAAGCTAAAATGTACGATCTGGGATTGATTTTGGTTGGCTTAGTCCCGCCGTCCTTTCAGTTCCAGACCTTGTATACCCCTTGTAGGTCCAAGGTTCTTGTTCTAGGGCTATATCAATGTGGTGTTTGCTCATGTATGCACAGAGGGTGGCAGATGCCGCTCTACTGTGACGCAGATTAATTTGTGCTAGTTTTACCATAAAGAAAATAATAAGACCATGCTTACCTACTGAAGTGTGGTAGTTGGCACAATTGGTTGTGGTTCCCTCAACTGCTGTGGCTTCTTCGCACTCCATGCTTGTTACTTCCTCAACCTCCACCGTCGTCTCTGAGAGTAGTTTGAACGTCACCATGGTGAAGTTCACATAGGGTTGCAAGTGTCTCCCATCTTGTCCCAGGAAGTTTGGTCCATAAGGATAATCAAAGTTTGTCCCTCGGTGTCCCCTTCTTATCTACCGCACGCCAATTTCTGGTTGTAACTCCAGTATTTTGGATTTCAATCCTTTTCAGGAAATTTTCTGGTTCTACTTGAGCCCCAGCGATCCAGGCGTACTGATTTTAGGAGGTTCTTCGCTTGGACGAATCGAAGATTCGCCCCCTCCCGCGGCGCTACTTTCGCTAGATCTGACCTTAACCATTCCACAGATACCTGGTGTGTACAGGTGATCAACAGCGCTCCCCCTCGGTGGTGACACTCCGTCAATTTGGCCGAAACCGCTCCTTCTGACAGCATTCCCTCCACGTTTTTATCGACAAAAGCCAGTCTGAAGCCTGTAGGTGCTTTGCTAAAGGTTCTGGTATACTTTGCAGTCCCAGTCTTCAATGCAGTCTTGGTAGGTGCATTTCCTGGTTGCTTAGAACTCCTATGTTGCCCTATTTCAGCAGATGGGAGGTCAGGTCTCAATTTTTTTAACGTCCAGCGCAGTGCTTCGAATAATTTTTTAGGCTCTCCAGTACCAGGTGCCCGGGAACAGTTTTTTTGTTTTTCTTCTTGCTCCATGAGCCTCATGAATATGGGGGAAAGAAATGTCCACACATGCAGAGTCTCCTGCGCCCATGTAAGGCGACTTAGTACAACAGAGTGGCGTCCGGTGGTTGTGGTACAATAGGTACATCTTTGAAACAAGTTGTAAATCAGGGTATGCATGATTTTTGGTAATACAGATCAGTATTTTATTAGCAAAGTTTAAAATTATCGATCCGACAAGTAATCTAACTCAAAATATACTAGAGCCTGCACATTTACACTATAGCAGAAAGCTTTTAGTGAAAATTTGAAGTCTCTAGCTATTGTAATTGCTGAGATCTCAACCGGACAGCCAGCCAGCCAACCATAACAAATATAACATTTTTTTTTCAAAAATGCGCTAACAATACTTTAAAAATATATCATTACTGAAGGGAAAGAGTGAAATAGATAAAGATATGCTCAGAGATCCCTTGAAATCCTGAAATTACACACTGGTTTCCTCTCCTAATAAATTAAATACTTTAGTAACTTCCTTATTTGTACTTGACAGTATTTTTTTGTTTAATTTATTACAAAGGGTGCCATTCAAAAATAGTATCATGAGTAATAGACCTTAGGTTTCACTTAAAGTTAAGTATTGGTTCATTGTTACATTAATCAAACAGTACCTAAATTAATGTCGTCGTTATTTAAATCAAATGGCTACATCTCAGTATAGATGTGTACCTACTAGGGCTGGGCGATTACGGGTTTGAATAATCGATAATGAAAAATAATCGATTACACTGATTAATCGATTAATCAAATAATCGATTAATCAAATAATTGATTAATCAAATAATCGATTAATCACCTAATCGTTTAATCAAAAGTCGATTGTCACATACAAGGAGTGATAAATATCTGTTTGTATGCATTAATACGTTAATTATTTAATAATAAAAATAAAAAATAATTCCATTACTCTTTTCATCAAATCGTTCATTACTAGGCAGATCGATTAATCAATAATCAACAAAGTGTCCCTGGTTCGAATCCGGGTTCGGGCATGGATATTTGCAAATGCATAGTGGGTTGGTTGGTAGAACAGCCTTGGCTGAAACCCTATCCATTTGAAAATGAAGGTCAAAAATAAATAAAAATAAATGATTAGGCAGCTTACTCTCCGATGAGGTGTGCTTTAGTTTTGATGATACAATCTTAATTCATTTTAGCTGCTTAAAGTGAATTTTAACATCCGCTATAAAATAAAATAATACTTGTGAGCTGTGAGTGCTCCTTTTTGCGTAAACTGATGATCCAGCTAATAATAATCAATTAAAATTTACTTAATAATTGATTAATCAAACAATCGATTAATCAAATAACCGATTAATCAAATAAATCAAATAACCGATTAATCAAATAATCGATTAATCAAATAATCGATTAATTTAATAGAATAATCAAACCCGATTATCGTTTGATTATAATCGATTAATCGATTTTTTTGCCCAACGCTAGTACCTACCAATAAAACGTTTTTCTTTTTCCATGTCCCGTTTTCATCTCATCCGAAACCAAATTTTAAAAATGATATTTCTTTCTTTCCCTGTTGCTACCATTCAATAAATTTCTCAAATTGCATAATTTGGGCACCGCCAATTTTATTTATGCAAAACTCTTTCACAAAAAAAAGAAACATTCATATATACAACTCACAATGTTTAACTACAGTCCAAAAATTAGGAACTCTTTCCTAACTGTGCACCTTAACAAGGTCCGGGAGACACAATTGTATTATGCAGTATGCAGCAACATTTTAAATCCAAGCAAACAAATATAAAACACCAGACAATTTTACTGGATTTCCACAGTAATAAAGTGTACCAAGTACATTTTAATGTTGTGGATGATCCATAACAGGATAAATGTTCAGCTGCATATTACTAGGTTACCTATTGATTAAGTGGGTTTTCGGGTGATTTTTGCCATTCCTTAAAAACCATTTGTTTTAACTGTGAGAGACGTAGTGTCGGATGAGTTTCTTTAAGGAGTGCTAATTCGCGACGTTCGTAAGCCACATAAGCTGCTTTCATTCTCTTTTCAGGATGTTTATCAATTTCCTCGTCTCGGGTACTAAAATTACTTAACTGAGTTTGCAAATCATGAATAATTACGGTACGTACCTCAATAATGCAATAGCTTCAGTGACCGAACGCGCTTCGTCAGCAGTAGGTATTAGTCGGTTGATATTCTCTTCCAGTGGTGCGTCCAAGTGAGTTTCAGTTTTTTCTTTCACTACCGGTTTGATGTTTGCTTGTTCACTAATTTGAGCCCGTGTGACTTTTGGCGGTGGTGGAAGTTTTGGGGTCTTTTTAATTGAAGCAGTTTCTTGTTCTATCAAAGCTTTCACTTCCGCTTTTTTGTCAGCGATTGATTGTTTCTTTTTCTCTTGATCTTCCTACGGGTGAATAACCACAAGTAAAGTTAGCATAGAACAATTTACAGTTTCAAAACTGTATGTACCTTTCTTTGTAGCTTCCTAAGGACATGTTTATCATCTTCTTTCCAATATTGTTCCTCTTCCTGCTTTTTCTTTTGCACTTTTTCGTCTTCTTTAACTGCCGCTTTTCTCGCTTTTGCGGCGGCTGCTTTGCTATTCTCCCCAGCAAACTTCTTAGGCATTGTGAGTTAATATAAGCAGACCAGTTTAGTATTTTGTGACAATTATTGCATTTGCAATTAGATGAAATGAGGTTAGGATATCAGATACAACAAGTTCTATACATTCAAAGTATTAGGGGGCATATCTTATACAGAAAATCATTGATCATAAAGCATTTTTGAGGTTCATTCGTCAGTGCTAAAGTCGAACTACTCAAAACCTTTGTATTCGATAACAAAAGGTTAACTTCTTTAGTACCATGACCCTGACATGTCCATATTAGGTAATTGTTGCACGTTCGATTTGTCTATCCTTTCATTTCATCTGCCATGAGCGTAGACACAGCCTCCGCCAATCTAGACACGTTCTTTATTATTAAATTGGCATATCTCAAATTCTGGAGTTTTATACGTACACTAGAAAATAAAGGTACGTTCTACGTGGCAGTTGATTTATTTAAAAGCTTCCGAGAATCTTCACGAGAAAATTGAAAATTCACCGTTGTTAGTTTAAAATGGGTCTAACAATTTCGAGTGTGCTAACCCGTTTATTTGGCAAAAAGCAAATGCGCATTTTAATGGGTGAGGTTATAACTCTCACACTGCCCTTTTTGTTAAACCTTTCTCTTCACAAATTTCATTATAGTGGGATTAGATGCTGCCGGTAAAACTACAATTCTATATAAGTTAAAGTTAGGCGAAATCGTTACTACGATACCGACCATCGGATTTAATGTTGAAACAGTGGAATACAAAAATATATGCTTTACCGTTTGGGATGTCGGTGGTCAAAACAAAATTCGCGCTTTGTGGCGCCATTACTTCCAAAACACCCAGGGACTTATTTTCGTTGTCGACTCAAATGATCGTGAACGTATCAGTGAAGCGGAAGATGAATTAAAAAATGTGGTATGTCGCTTCGTGCTTAAATTAATTTTAGTATCATTTAAAGTTGTAGCTGCAAGAAGATGAGTTGCGGGATGCTGTCTTGTTGGTATTCGCAAATAAGCAAGATTTACCCAATGCAATGACTGCTGCCGAGCTCACTGATAAATTACAATTGAATGAACTACGTAATCGTCGTGTAAGTTTTTACAAAAGTCTGTCGATAATAATTGTTACTGTTGGTGTTTTAGTGGTATATACAAGCTACCTGCGCCACTCAAGGAGATGGTTTATACGAAGGATTAGATTGGCTCTCAAATGAATTAGCCAAGTAAATTATAAATTCTTTTCTAACTTAGTTCGAACTATTAATAAGTTGATGTTTTAAATATGTTGTTTTAATTAGGTTACACCTTTTTTAAGATATTTCCAGTTTGTGATCTACATAAGTAAATGACTGATTAACAAGAAAAGTTTAATATAGAAATTGTTTTATTTCAATTATATCCATTTACAAAATTATAATTAAATGACCGTTATACTGCCATTTAAGTAGTACGAAGCTGATAGTCCCCATTTTGCGTAATGTAGCGTACCCAAGGAAGTGCTTGGTAACCACTTTTTTCGATGATCTTCAAGTACCGAACCTGCAAATAAAAATTAGGCTAACATCATCATATTGAGAATTTACTTGTATTCCTGAAGTTGTAAAGTATGGGATTTCAAATTTCACTTGAATCGGAGGTTTGCCTTCTGTGTCCTCACATTCGACACTGGGTAATCCAAAGTGTGCTCTCATTAAGTACTCCTTCCCTCCCGGAAACGACTTAATTGTCCAAGTAATCGCATTTTGTTCGGGCGCATACTTGACACTCCCAATTGTTGTTTTAAACTTGGGAGAATCTGCATCACCGGGGACTGGGATAACAATTTCTACATTATTCGCAGTTGATCTTCTTTTGAATTGGGACTTTGCTTTTATCATATATTCCACACGACTATGTGCATGCCGTTCGATCACAGATTCAATCCATATTAAAGGCTTCACCTAAAGTATGCCAAATTTTTAAATGCTCAAAACAAATTCTTCTCTTACATGCGTATTGAGTCGATACGACATCAGCTCAAATTCACCATCGGGCGGAATGAAAGAAATAGTTCTATCATTTTCAAACCGTGAGAGACGGACACACTGATGAAATTTGACATCTTCCAGCTCGACAGATTTTGACTTACCTCTCCCTGTACTTTCAAATAAAACTTTATCATTCAATCCAAGACGTAGCTCCGGCATTCCAGACAGGTACACTCTCATTTTAATTGCTCCAACAATTTCACTGCGCAACACATTACCATTTGCATTGGCCAATAAGTTAACCGATTCGATCACGTCTAAGAAAACTTCATTCTTTCTATATTTAATGCCTTCTGAGCGCCATGATACAGCATTCGTAACTGCCATTGGTATTCTCGGTTGTATTTCCAATTTGTGTCCCTCTTGAGTGATGTATTCTTGCAGAATTTTACTGTCGGTGGTTTGTGGATAGCCAAAATCGATCAATTCGTCTAATAATTCGTAGATCACAACAAAATTATCTCTTATACTCTCTTCTTCGAGTTCTTTAAAATATTCGGCCATCACTTGCACGATTTTGTGCAGAAAAACAAACACAAGAGCGATGTTGGCATTTTTCTTAGTTGTGCTGACGATGTATAGGTTGTTAGTTTTTATGTAGGAGAACGTGCATTCGGGAGTTTGTAAAATGGGCGTTAGGAGGCCTTCTTCCTCTTTTTCCATTAGTAAAGGCATAAACTTTTCGATTACACCCAAATCTATATCGCCTCTATAATTCCGTGAAATAAGTACCTAAAATTATAAAGTAGATTTTGCCCTACTATTTACTTGTTTTTTACCTTTCCCTTAACATCTAAAATGTAAATTGCAGAGGACGACATTGTAATATACCTGTACTATTTACAATAACTTTCCATATAAATATAAAATATATAAAAGAATTTTCGCAAGGCGTGATAAAATGATACAAGAATAATATGATACAATAGAAATTAATTATAAAACAATAATAAGCATTGCCTTACACGTCACTGAGGTAACAAATAACCCCTTTAACACCTGTGAGTAAACAGCCATCTTCACTGTACTGTTGTAATTTACATTGTTGTCACGTTGCCATTTACGCGTTAATGTTCCCACTTGTTTTTTGCATTTTATTCTTAGGGCGGGTCATGCACCAAATCCCAAGGTGGTGTCGGGGCCGTTTGCTCAGGAAAGCACCCAGATGACAGGGACCAAGGATTTATGGCAGACAGAAGAACCCCAAAGGGTCTGGAGTATTCAAAGTTACCGCGGGTTGAGGGTGGCCAGTGTTACGGTGCCACAGGTCACACCCGGAGGCGGACATAACTGATGATAGAGGCTGTTCTTCTCATTAGAATTTGGCCCTAGGACACGTCTCTGAATTTCAGAGGCCGTGCTATACGCTTTTCGGGTAACACGGCCAGCATCTTGAAGCGCCTCCAGAGTTATGATTTCAAAGCGGGCATCTAAAGGACTTTTTCCGCAGAGAGGAGCCTGGTAGTGTTGGCGCTAAAACTGTCCGGGGTACGCTAAGATATCGCACGTCGCATATGTGACGAAAGTGGGTGCTCCAGCTGCACCCTAAAAGGATGGGGATTCCATCGGAGCAATGGAACCGAGGTTTCCTACGGCAAAGGGGGCTCAATTACTCGCTATCGGCCTAGAAGTGCCTCAGAAGTCGATTAAGATGCCGACCGAGCTCCTCGCTCATGTGATGGTTCTTGGCACCGACAAGGGGCCTGAACCGCCGATTGCACCAGAGTAAGGAATAAAAAAAATACAATGACCAGAGGAAGGTTTTAGTGCATCAGCGTTGAGTAATTTATGCAGTACAGTGAAGGGACATAACAGGCGTATGCTTCATACAAAAACCATGGAAGGGGGCCTCTGGAGACCAGTTTGTATGACCAAAATAATTATCTCTCTCTTGATGGATTCCATAAAATTGGTCTAATTTATTCGGAGTTATTCCCGTAACCATTGAAATTTAGTCAAACCGGTGGTCACTGGAATAAGGCTGTATTTTTTATAATAGCTGAAGAGCGGAACTATTTGAAATTCTCGATCACGGATATGTATGCAGTGGGCACAAGGACGTTGTATTTTTAACGTCCTTGAGTGGGCATGTACTTCAAATTGTTGCTAACTTCACGAAGTTATTTAATAAAAGAAAAAAGAGTTGCATACAAGGCAACGTCGCATTACTACCAGTACGAAAAGTTTCATTTGAACATGAAATGTAAAATGGTGCGTGAGAATTGGGCTAAATTCTTCTTTTTGCTGTTGCACCATTCATTCTTCCGGTTTACCGTTTAATAAATTATCGCGCACTAATCAATGAGATAAAGATACAATTTCATAAAAAGCGGAGTGAAAGTCCCGGTATTCGATCTGTAAAGTGCAGTTTTCCCAGCATGCATCATGAGTGGGAGTGATTGGGATGGTTTGCTAGCGAGCGATGTCTACTAAAAATTAATGTTTAAAAAATTCAAAAATAAATTTCGAAGGACTTTTCTCTTAATCTTTTAACAAATTAGTGGTAACTTAATTCATGGAAATGTGTTTGCTACATATCGGAGTTGAAACGTAATGGCAATAGTAGTGTATTCACATTGGTGACGTAGTTCTCCATTGTACTTGCTCTGTTTGTACAACATTTATGGAAAAACGAAGGTTCGTACTAGTCAAACATTATTAGCAAATTTCTCGTTTCATCCCAATTGAGATGATAATCAATACCAAATTTCCCCTTTACAAAAAATTGCTCACTTTATGTACTGTGGACGGTATCTCCTCAACATGTAAACATTTTTAGCCCCTCCCCATCACATATTTGTAAATCAATTTATTACTTTTTGACTTTTACTCTTCAGAAATTTTGGTTATTTTCTACTTGGACTGCCTAATTTGACCTTAGTTCGTTCTTTCATGATTCACTCAATTAATGGACATTATTTACTTTCAGAATGCATCCAAATGGATAAATGAGTAATTTCTGGCATCGTTACTAAAGCAGCGATCAAATGTTACAATTTGAACTTAAGGTATTTATGTTTTACAAGATCTGTTTACTGAGTGAATCCCGGCAATCTTTGCAAGTTTAAATGAGTGTTTGTTTCTATAGCTTCTATCTTTAAAGTGTTATCGTAAGTATTGGTTATCTGTATGTTAGTTTTTTAAACTAAAGTCAAAGGCAAACATTTCCAGATAGCACATTTCTATTATTATGAACAATTCTTTTGTTTTTCCACTTATTATTGTAGAATGATTAATGTTCCAAGGGTCTGATCCTAGATGACCTAAGTAACACATTCTTTTCTGGTGTAGGAACTAAATGCATGCTAAAATTAAATTCTCGGTTTAGGTAAAGTATGTCATCGCATCATCATGCTTTGATTCATCGCCATTGTTTTTAATTTACCTATCTCCAGCCTTATCACATGACGTAATCTTGTTTTAAGCAAATGCACCGCTAAATTGTTGTTATTGAAAACTGATTCATCAGATGTTTGTAAAAGTCAAACTTTCGAAAATGGTGGGCTGTGCAATAATAAGAATCTTATCATTTTGACATTTTTATGGGTATATCCACTATAATATCCCAGGGGTGGGATAATGCATAGAAAGTGTAATAAAAATATTTTCCCATGAATAGGTATTAAAATAAGACAAAAATAGTAATCTTGCAGAGAACCATTGCTGTCAGAAGTAATGATTCACAGGTGTATAGGCAACTAACCATACCAGGTCAAGAATGCTAACACAGCCCTTGTGCAGAGTTCACAGTTTTGTTTGAGGAAAATGAACCTGTGAAAAGTTGGGAATCCCGACTGGCTAATTCTAATTATCGAAAATTGCGTGAATTACAGTAAATAGACCACCACTGAAAACAATACTGTTTGTAGCATTTCTATTTTCTTGATGTATTAATCTGGATTTTCTTAAGCCTGTTTTTTTTAAACAAAAAGAAGGTAAATGTTACGATTTTTTGGGAGCGATGATAAGTCACCACGCAAGCTTTTCAATTTTTTATCTATTATAGTGTGTCCTCGGAAATAGTTTGCTGAGATTTTACTATTGATCAACCCTGAGACTAAACACAATTCAATTTGCTTATGTATAGCAAACCTTCTCGAAAAATCTAGAAAGCATATTATATTTCACAGAAAGAATGAGTCACATCTGCTTTCAGTCCTTATCGCAGGTGACTAATCCCTTATCGACTTGATGGCGCCTCGAGACTGTTCTAGATGGATCACTACACTAAGTTTCAAAGTTTTATTTATTTATTTCTAATAGATTACATAAATGTAATATAGGACATGTCAAAATTGCAATTATTAGCAAGATATTTTGTTCAATAACGGGACCTGATAAAGTAATAATATGTGATCTAGAATTTACACATAAGGAATAAACAACGAGATAAACAAGCACATCGGTAACATTTTTTATATTCTTTAAAAATATCAAAAAATAAATTGTGAAAACATGAATGATTGCAATTAAGTAATTATTGCATGCTTATATTTGGTTTGCTTCAATACACCCTTGCATCCGAGAAACCAACTGCAGCCCACGCATCTATTTCAGGACACCATTCTTGTACTTTTTATATCGTAGCGGATGTCGTTTTCTCGCCACAAGGTTTTTCTGAAGTTCTTGCTCAAATCGAAGTTTTTATCATCGCCGAAGTCTCAATTGCGCCCAAAATTTTCGTAACCAAATTGAAGACACTGATGCCCATGCTCTGGAGTTAATGCAGGAATTCCTCCATGCAACATTCTCCTCACTTGGGACATGAACGGTACGAGCATTAAGGAAAAAACCTACAAATTTACATTATTTATATAATCTTGCATTAGAATTGCAATTGTTAGCATGCCCCTATTCTCTCATGAACTACTATCTGAAGAAACTTACCTATGATGCTCCACAGATTTTGAGATGTCCGGAATGTAGACCACGGGCTGTTCCCTCTGTACTTCTTTCGCTTTCTAAGGTTGTGAATTGTGATGAGGCAATAGTTTTGATTTTATTTTTGTTTCAAATTTAGTTTGTTGTCAATTTTGTTGATTGTAACGGTAAACTATATAAAACTATTATTATTGTTATTATTTTTGAGTGGGGTTTTAGCCAATGCTGCTCTAGCAACCCAACTCACCACACACTTACAAAATCCATGCCCAAACTGAGACAATGTTAAAAAAAGTTTTGTTTTTAGGTATATTTATATCATTTTTTATTTCAGACTTTTTGCTCCAATCTTTTAATAACGAATGTAATATTGATTTTAGGGAGTGATTTTTCCTCGGATTTCTCCATTGTAAATGTGCTGTCTGGAGAAAATCTTTAAGCGAAAGTATGATTGTCGTTTAATTGTGAGCTTTGAGTGTTTTTTACGACGCACAAGTGCGTGATTTTTGCTACTCTCTAGTAATTAATAGGTGTTGTAAACCGATCTTGTACATAGTTGATATTCATTTGAACTTCACTCATTTGGTTAGTATAATAAAATCATATTTATGTCTAATGTAGTTTTTAATAATTCACCACAAGCTTACACAATTGTCTTTTGCATGTAGCTTAAAGGATACACCACAAGTTTTCACCATGTCTGCTAACCAGCTTATGGATTCATGTCTGTAAGTAGCAGGATGCTGTTATCTATATGTTGTTTTATTTTCTTGAACAATTTTTCAAAATTGCCTCGACGTTTCGACATATAAGTACCTTATTGAAACAATAAAGTAATATATACAAAGTGCCTGTGGGCAAAAGGTTTTGGGATCTTTTTGTTTGATGAACGCATGAACAGATTTATCAGCACTTCATTACTGATATTCCACTTTTTCTTGTAACAAGTTTTATATTCTTAGACCGTTTCAGTTGTGATATGCCCCTGTAGCTAGCAAAATGAATATTATAAATACAAACATTGTTTTAGTGGTTACAAATTTTTTACAGGCTACATTCAGATTTAGTTGGTAAATTAATTGTAGCAATCAAATTGCATCCAAAGGTACTGGAATATCGTGTTGCTCTGCTACAGGGACATTTCGTTGGGTTGATATGAGATATTGGCAGTGTATTTGATGGATGTATTATTTTCTGGGCGTTTTTGTTAGTGTTTTGCAAGACCTGAGCACGCATTGCCAGTGGCGTTTCTGAGAGGTGGTAGGGGCGATCTGTTCTGGGTGACACCTATCCTTTAAATTGACTACATAACTGAATACTACATTTATTTACTGTGGTTATAATTTTTTAGTTATTAGTAATGTTAGTCGCGTTAGGCACAGTTGTATACACAGGTCTAGAAACCCTGTGATTTGAGATGAAGCTCTTACGTGTCGTCAGACTCGTAGTTCCTCGCTCAGCTAACTGGTGGCGCATGGATCGAAGTATGTTTTTAGGATTAGGCGTACGTAAAGCATGCGTCCCATTAGCGCAGATGGCTTAACCACCGACTTACACCGCGATGACGCAGGTTCGAATCCGAATGCGCGCGTTTTTTTTCACTATACGTTCATTAAATTTATGCGCTCACTTTTCGCTAAAAAACACGTGATTTGAGGGAGATTTTAAATGCCAAAACACATCACGTGATTAATGGATGCTATATCCAAATGTACTCTTTAAAAATATGTAATAAAAAATAGTAGTTGGTATTTAAAAAAATATTCCCCCTTTCACCATGCAAAAGAATGCCATTGACCATTTAAAGTATGTAGATTGGTAGCCAATTTTTATAATTTTGGATACCATAAACAAACTTCTTTAAAAAAATTTGTCTTGAAGATATTCAGTGTTCCAGACAAAATTATCACGCTGTATATTCGAAAGTGAACGGACCGAGAGTGACTTACATTTCATAATATGATTATCTTAGAACAGAATGTAATATAAATCTTTTGTGTTTACCTTACACTTACGAGTAAGAGGTCTTTTTGATTATATATATTCGAAAGTAGAATAAAAGATATGGCGTACAATTTAAAATTAGTTACTTGGTCTTCTCCGAGAAACAGTCAAGCCCAATGTCAGTTCGTCGGAGATTGCCCACCATTTCAATAAACCCAAAATTTGTTATTTTGAACTACTAAATTTGCATTCAGAAACCATAAAAAAGTAATACTTATAATAACACATCTAAAGTTTTCAAAAAGATTTTGTTTAAGGAATTTCTTTCCCAACTCCTCAAAAAGTTGTATATAAAAAGATTTCTAAGGTTTCTCTCTAAGTTTGTCAAAAGTTCTACAAGAGGAAAATGCTGCTTAAGAACTAAAGATATACCTAACATTTGTAATAGGTACGAATGAAATTTTCTCGTAATATTTCTAAGGCGGACTTTATGGACAACTGTAAAGATGATCTTTAAGAAATATGTACTGTGGGAGAAAATGTCTAGATCAGAAAGACGACTTGTATGGTTTCTTAAAATATTTCTAAGAAACTTTTTGAGGGAAAATGGGAAAGTCTGAATAAGAAAAATAAAATTTCCAGGAAGGCTTCGAAGAATATTTCTAAGAGGATCTCTAAAGGCGCGTCCACATTATCCCATAGGCAAAGCCAGCGACTGTAAAAACGTCTACATGTGTGTTGACACATTCATTTAGTTTAGTTGCACACTGATGTGGATTTACTAATTCCTTTAGCTGCGGTTATCATATTTTGGGTACGTCCAAGCTTTCAAAGCAGCGCACAGTATGGAACTCTATGAAGGATTTACTATTGGATCATATGGGCCAATTGAATCTGGAGTACAGATCTGGCTGTGGTTTGAGGAATTTTTTTCGAATGAGCAGTGGTAACTGCCATGACAGTCTGAATCACAACTGAAGCTGCGTGAGGCCAGTGTTTGGTACGTCCCCACTTCGTTCTCATAGGCTTAGAAGATCATTTTTAAAGAAATTTTCAAGATTTTTAGAAGATTTTGAAGACACTAAGGAAGATTCTTTTCCTACAGTATTTTAAATTGCGATTTTGAATTAAGGACGGCATACGAATTAAAAAATTGAACCAGTTATGAAATGAGGCAACCATGATTCAGCTATTAAATATTAGAGGTCGCAGCATGTTTTAAAATCGAAAGATAGTGTAGTATTATCTTTGTAGTAAATAAATTGTGCTGCCACATCGTGTCGAGTAGGTGGTACTATCTACTTACACAATTGGTTTATGTATACTCTAAATTTAATTACTTTTACATGTTGGCTTCCATGACCTTGTGCACATTCCTTTGCTTATTTTAACGAGATAAAAAACAGCTGGTTGACATAGATTAAATTACATTTAAAGGTACCCGCAAAAACCGATTATGCACTATTACCAGAGGTTATAATTCAACAAATTTAAGGCATGTTTTTTTGTTCAAATACGCCCTTCTGCTCTCGCTCTGCAGTCGAAATCGCAAATAAAATTTTTGACGTTCATTTGTTAATATTCTTATAATTCTTTGACGTGGTGAATTTAAAGGATACATAGGGGAATTTGCTTTATTTACAAAAAACTGTTTGTTTTTGTTTATTTTGTCATACCTACAATTTGTAATCATTATTTTCACTAATACTTCATACTATGCGATCAAAAAAGAGTTGTTGTCGAGCAACCTTTGGAATTTTTGGCTACCCAGAAAATCAGCGACTCGATTGTCAATCCTTTTTTGATCGCTCCTTATATGAAAAGCTGGAGAAATTCTATCTCCGGGGTTATCGGGGGGCGTAGAGTCCGTCTCTGCCCTCGAAATTGACAGAGGATGCCCAGGGGCGGCGCTACGAGGGTGCAGTGAAGTAAAAAATTAACCGTGCCGAAAAACTGAAACTGAAAATTCACCCCCGCCCCCATGATCTCTACCCCTGAGCATACAGGGAGAATTTGGACAGTAGATCTGGTCTCTGCGCCAACGAAGATAATAAATGCATTTTTGCACCCCTGTGATTTTTAGGAAATGCACGTCGTAGGATAGACATAGAATAAGGGCAGGGTTACACTAACGTGTAAAATTTCCAAACGGTTTTAACTACCTGTCTTCTTCTCCGGAGGGTCGCCCACACACATTCAAATCACAAATGTCATTTTATCTTAGTAAACGAGAAAGGAATGTTGGCATAGGTCGCGTTTATGTACTCGTCTTTAGACAAACAACCATTCATTGTACTCAATGACATCATAATCGGATTCGCAGTTCTTTTTGTTATACCATGAGCTCCTTTATAATATTTTTTACAGACGCGCGCCAAGTTAAGTTGTACCTTAGCGACATCTAGAAATAAATAGCTGCACTACTGCTGCTTGCCGCCATTGTGATGATGTAACTTTTTAAAAATGAAATCTTTGAGAATGACTCCTGGCCGCAATATTGGGTTTTAAATGACAAAACTTTCAATATTGAAAGAGGAGGAGCAGTTTTACAGCGACTGTACTTTAAAATTCAACAATTGCTTAAAATAAAATATAAAATGTGCCCTCTTATTTTAGCAATATTGTAGTAATTACTGTCTTTTTAGTAAAACCTTTATACAGTCGCTCTAGAGTAATGTATGTAGAATTTATATTTTCAAAAACCAAGCTAAAAAATGATTGTATAAGCCCAGGAGTCATTCTCAAAGTTTGATATAATTTTACAATGCAATTTGTCAGTGGCGACCTCTATTGGTTCTCATGAATAGTATGCCGTCCTTAAGTTCTAAGACACCTAGCAAAGAGTAACCATAATAAGAGATACAGCGCAATGGGATAAACACGTGTTGGCTATAAGAACTCGCCCGCTAGGATTCCAATAGCGGGCCCTCGCGTAGAGGTGGCCAGAACTAACCGCCTCTTTAAGTAGGTATATGTATTTAAATTTGCCGCATTCTGCTGTGATTTATGCATCTAAACGATTGATAATGCAGTGTATGTTCTCATTTTTGAAAACAACGTTGGCTTCCACTCCAAATATAGGGTTTCTGGAGCGTTTAAATATCTCCGTAATGCGTGGGTCGATCGGACTGAAATGTAATGAGATTAAAGGGGACATTAGTCACATCGACTGGTAAAAAATATGGTCCAAATCGGTCAAGTAGTTTTTCAGTTATCGCAAAGAAATCATTTTTAAAGAGGTGGGGTTGCGTTGGTCCACAGTTCACATTTTTAACTGATCTGAACAAGTGCAAGTCGGAAGTTAAATATCGTTCGTTAGACTACTTCCTCCAACTAAACGATCTAGTTCGGTCGACTTTTCCATACGTCCGCGTCGACGGTAGGGCGACGAACAGTGTGTACAAAGGGCAGAGACCTTATTACTCGCGCTTACTGGGAATGCACAATACACAGTAAAAAATCTATTATTTACCGCTCAAAAAACGGCTTATTGTTACACGAAGAACATATCTTTCTGCAATGATATTTATAAACTTCTAAACAAGTGGTTGCCTTGAAATAGCCCCTTAGGCGTAGCGTACGCCAATAAAATTGAGAAAAAGTAGTAAAATTTGTTAGGCAACACACAATACATATGCAACACTATTCTCTATGCCGTTGAATCTCTTATTATGGTTACTCTTTGCTCCTAGAGATATTCATAGAAAGATTTCTACCGAAATTTGTTAAAACATCATCAGTAAAATTATAGGAACAGATTTCTAATGTTACGCCAAAGGGGGACAATTTTTGTTTTCAAGGTTCTTAAGATTTCCAAGATCCGAAGCATTTTCTTAACTGTGAGATCCTCTGCCTTAAAATATGTATGGTGTTTAAATTTCAGTGGTAATCTTTGCTATTATCAAGTGTATAGACTTGTTGTTTTCGCGAACCTGTGCTATTTTTATGTAAAACTCAAGATGCTATATTCAAAGTTTTCAAAATTACACAGATCCTTTATTCTGTACATGCACCACTGAAATCTATGTAAAAAACTATTATAATCCGTTTTCACCTTTTGAAGAACATTTCGTATAATCCAGACATGAAGCGGTATAAAATTATCAAATTTTCAAAATCAACTCGAAAGTTGCCCAATCCAAGTGTCCCATGAAATTTGGACACCATGCACATCAATTGAGGATTATTTGGCAAGCAATATGGATAAGTGTTTTCCCCCTTCCTCGGGTGTCACCACAGTATTATGCACCGGCTACCATTTATCTTAGCAATGCCACTGTGTCTTGTATGGGTATACCTGCTTAGTTTATGATTTCTCTTTTGTAACAAAACGTGGTTCTTACATTTTTCTGGAATACCATTTTGCATGCATTTTAATGATATCCACATAATTTCTTTGTCATCCGCATATTTTGTGGATACATAATTAAATATTGCTTAAAACAGCTTGGCTAAAGGGATTGCTTTTTTTATACTGACAGTCTCGTGAACCGGCGGGTGGAACAAAGGCAGGAACACAGCATCACCCACACAGAAATAACGCAGAGGTAGGGGTTGTTTACACTATAAAAGTGCAGTGCGCATAACGTAAGAGAGACTATGCGTTTTGTTACATTGTGTGTGCTGTATGTTTCTAATATTACGATCATTTTGTCATTAATTTAGTTTTAATATTAAATGTACCAGCATTCATCACATCTTTCATTTGTTGTTTTTAGGCGGGTTTTGCACGATAAAGGTCCCGATATGCAGCATTATAAGTAAGTGATAAAAATTAACTTTATGTTTTGATACGATTCGCTTATAATTATCATTAAATGTTGTACTTTTTCTCAATTTTCAGAGGGCCAGAAACTGGGAGTTCGATAGGAGAAGGAGTTTATCATTCGCATAGCAATGGACACTCTGAACATTCTCCAAACTCTAGCCATATGTCTGTTCACAGTGACGAACCTTTAGTACGTACTCATAAACAGCAAACTACACAGCAAGTGACTACGGTAACTAAGGTTGTGCGTGAAGTGCAGCAATTAGGTGATGGTCCGCCGGGTGAATATGTGCCAGTGCCCTTAGGCTCATATCAGCATCCAACCCACGCCCGTCCTCAGTACGTAGATTACATGGAGCAACCATCTCATCACATGTATTCCCAATATCATCAACATCCACATTATCAAGATTACGAGCACTATCCATCTAATCCATATGGAGGTTACATGGGATATCCTGCCGGAGCGGAGCGGCCTCCTACACCGCCAAGTCCGAGCGAACACAGTGGCGCTCCATCACCTCTGCCTTTGACTGCTCAACCAGGAGGTCCCTATTTGACCTCCGGCTATGATGAATTACCTGAACATTATAGAGTAACCCCATCACCTGGAGGACCCATCGGATTGGATTTCCAAGACGATCCCGGTGTAGTGTACGGATATGTTTCTCCATCTCCATATGGTACTACCACAAACCACCCTAGTTCTACATACGACACGCGGCCATATGAGGAGAGCTTAAACGGACCAGTGCCGGTCGCTGCACCTATCCGAATGTATGACGATGAAGAACTTCAGAAGCACATGAACAAAATGTCCATGTCCTTACACGGTCACGGTATCGGGTTACCCAACAACAGGAGTCACGCAATGGCATCTCCGGGCAGCATAGGGGGCGACGACGATCAACGAGGCATGCGCTGGCGCGATCCAAATTTAACCGAGGTCATAGGCTTTCTAAATAATCCCAACAACGTCATTAAAGCAAACGCCGCCGCCTATTTACAACATCTCTGTTATATGGATGATCCGAATAAACAAAAAACCCGCGCTTTAGGAGGCATTCCACCATTAGTTAAATTATTAAGTCACGAATGCGTAGAAGTATATAGAAACGCCTGCGGCGCTCTTAGAAACCTTTCCTATGGGAGACAGAACGACGAAAACAAAAGGGCCATAAAAAACGCGGGCGGCATTCCCGCATTAATAAACCTCTTACGGAAATCGAATGAAGCAGAAATTAAAGAATTAGTTACCGGCGTAATATGGAATCTTTCGTCGTGCGAAGATCTAAAACGCCCAATAATTGACGACGGTGTCAATACAATCGTTACATTTATTATAATACCCCACTCTGGATGGGATCCGCAAGGGAATTCCGGCGAAACTTGCTGGTCAACCGTCTTTAGAAATGCTTCGGGCGTTTTACGAAATGTTAGTTCTGCGGGAGAGTATGCTAGAAAAAGATTGCGAGACTGTGACGGTTTAGTGGACGCGTTATTGTTTGTAGTACGCTGTGCCATTGAAAAATCAAATATAGGCAATAAGATTGTAGAGAATTGTGTATGCATTTTACGAAATTTGTCATATAGATGTCAGGAGGTAGAGGATCCGAATTACGATAAAAATCCTTTGCCAACTCAAAGTAGAGTAACCGCTAATCCGAAAGGTATGTCGCTTATGCGTTGGAAACCCATTAAAATTGTTATTTTTAGGTGAGAATCTGGGCTGCTTTGGAGGGAGTAAGAAGAAGAAAGATTCCCAAATTGTTGACGTAAAGGAAAGTACTTCTGGTGTGTCAGGGGGTAATTCGGGTAGTTCGGCAGCTAGAGGTGAACCAGTTCATGGGTATGAACTTTTATGGCAGCCCGAGGTGGTTCAGTCATATTTAACTTTGCTACAAAGTTGTTCGAATCCAGAAACGTTAGAGGCAGCTGCGGGCGCCCTTCAGAATCTGGCAGCTTGTTATTGGCAGCCAAGCATAGAAATACGAGCAGCTGTTCGCAAAGAAAAGGGTCTACCTGTATTGGTGGAATTACTACGAATGGAAGTTGATCGTGTCGTCTGTGCCGTAGCGACTGCCCTAAGAAATCTTGCTATCGATCAACGTAATAAGGAATTAATAGGGAAATATGCAATGAGGGATTTAGTTCAGAAATTGCCTTCTGGAAACCCTCAACACGATCAGGGTACCTCTGATGACACCATTGCTGCAGTATTAGCCACGCTAAACGAGGTGATAAAGAAGAATGCCGAATTTTCTAGATCACTTTTAGAGGCGGGGGGAGTTGAAAGACTGATGACAATTACTAGGCAAAGACAGAAATATACTCCAAGAGTGCTCAAATTTGCAGGACAGGTACTGTTTACGATGTGGCAGCATCAAGATTTGCGAGACGTTTATAAGAAGCACGGGTGGAAGGAGCAAGACTTTGTCACCAAGACTGTGGCAGCTCGAAATGCCGGTCCTAATTCGCCAAATAATGCAAATAGCACTTTAAATCGACCTATGGCTTCGCAGAGTGGTACAAGATATGAAGATCGAACGATTAAGCGACAGGCACCTTCTCGGGGCGCAGCTGCTATGTATCAAAGAGTAAGTAATTTTTTAATGAGCTTCGGAATAATTACCTTACGAATATGAGGGTATATTGTAACGGACTTCATTACATTTACTTCTACAGCACTGGGAATAATCTTAATATGACAATTAATTGTTATTTGATCCACGGCTAGCTCAGTAATAAAATTGTCTTTTTATACCCCTTACTTTATTTGTAAAATCTGATATTCACAATCTTACGATCCTGTTTCATTGAATCCCAATAAATACGCATATTACTTTGGTTGATTGAAATATATTAAGTAAAGCAAAAGCAATCAAATTTCAATTTTCTTTACATGTTCTTGGTTAATAAATATTGGTTTGAGCCATAAAAAGAAATACAAAAAAATGCAATGTCTATTTCGTGATCAGGTGTCCCTGCTAAATTTGATCCTCCCTGGAACATTCTCTTGTTCAAAATACTTACACCTTGAATATTGAAACATTTTAACCTAACCAGAGGAATGGTAGTACTGTAGTAATGCAAATATCAATCGATGAAACAAAATAATCTGTTCATGCAAATAATTCTCATGGGCCGATTCCTTCAGGAAAAAATTAAAACTTCAAATAAAATCAGGATCGTGGTGCCAATGTTCCGGGGTGTTGATATCAAATTTTGCTTAATTTTGGTCGTGAGTAAATGTATCAATTAATTTTCTACTGAGAGGCGAATAGCCTTCCACAAATTGGCTTGACTTCCACTTTTAATGCAAAAGTAAAGTAATTTTAATAAAAATTTAACACTGTTCTGAATACATAACAGTTCTAATTCACAATTTTAATTCTAGAACGAAGATATACCTATGGCGGACATGGCGTACCCAGAACCACAACCGCCCCTAGGCTGTGTGCGTTCCTACCCCCCAGGTGCAGGTTCTAACCCACCTCCAGTAAGTCACTAATAAAGCCACTAGCACAAGCTCTATAACTTTGTGTCAATTTAACTCATACATATATATTTGTATCTAAACATTTATACAGAAGTGAAAGTGTACACAGACTATGGCCGTTAGGTAGCGATACAGTGGCAATAATTTGTGCACATAAATTATTGCCGCTGTGAAATGATAAACACCGGGCCTCATCTATTAGATTAGTTTTTATTTCAAACGTTAGACGCATTTGTAGTCAAAGTATTCCATAACGTTTTATGTATGTAAGAAGTATCTCGTTGATTGTAAAAGATTTTTTCACACTTTTTATTACTTGTTTTATCAGGAAATAGTAGTCTTCCTTTGTATAATTCGCATTCTTTAATTTGTAAGTAATCCAGTGTCTGTAAGTATAGTTGTAGCAAAACTGATATCTAATAAACTTGATACTATTATGAGCTATGTTGTGGTGGGGTGGGCAGTGAGCGGAAGGCCCTGGCAGCGGCAGCAGCAGTGGCGATATTTCAGGTAAGGTCGGTGTTGTAGCTGCTCAGGGCCTTTGGTTTACTGTGCACAGGCTGTCCGGCAGCAAACGAGAGGCCCTGCCCAGCAGCACTTTCGCCGGCTTACACTCACACGGCCTCTGTTGCAGCCGGAGCCTCTCTACGCGCAGGTCAATATGGAGAAAAAGCGCAGCCGCCAACCTAGCCTCGGAAACGCCAACCATGTCGATGAAATCCAGCTCACCGCCGGTAAAGATTCCTGGGTGTAGTTTCTAACACTTGTTATATTTATTATCAGTGTTAAGCCTCGTATATACATAACATATGCATATATGCGCACTGATTTGTATTAACGTTTGTAAAAATATTAGTTTTTGGTTTACTGTGATGAGCTTCAAATTAAATTTTTTGTATATATTTATTACATATACATATATATTATTAATGGTTGTATACATTTTATTTCTTGCCATATTTATTTTACATAAATTGGCTATTATACATATACCGGAATTATATAGTGAATGCAAAATATATTATGTTGTTTCGCATACTTTTAAATGAACTTTGTTTAATATTTTCCCAGTGTATGTAAATTATTAATTGATACAAATTCATTTATATGCAAGAGTTGGATGGATAGTCAATTTTATTATGGTTTATAATAAACTATTGATAATTTAGTTTCTTTTTCTTCTCTAACATTTTGTTGGTATTTATTAAGCGGCAGAGCAAAGCGATGGAAGCTTTATAGGGGAGTCGATTCTGTCTGTGAACACGATAACTGTCAAACCACCTGGACCGATTTGGTTCAAACTTTGCACAGTTGACCTAAATGCCACATGTAATAAGCCTTTTGAAAATGGGTCAAATCCAATGACACCGTGGGATCACACTTCTTTGTCCCTGCCAAACGCTTGAACCTATTCGGTTGAAACTTTGCACAGTAGACTTTTATGTCACATGTAACAAGTCTATTGAAAATAGATCAAATCCAATGACCCCGCAGGATCACGCCTCTGTCTCTGGCAAACGCTTGAACCTATTTGGTTCAAACTTTGCGTACGGCCATGGACCTGAACTTTCTAAACGTATTAAAATGAATTATGTTCTCAGTAAACTGATTCTTTGAGAAAAACAAATGTCATTAAAAGTCATCTGCAACTTCTCCCATAATGCTCTCACACTGGTTATCTTCTTCAAAGAAAGAAGGATCGATAGTAAGAACTATTTTCGTTTTCTTATCTACTTCAAGCGCATTTGCCTCGGTTATACCTTGCTAGATATACGATTCGAGAAAGATTCTAAAAAATTGTCAACGGCGAATGCCCATTCTGTATTATTTTCACGTCTCTTGAGTTTCGGTATGCTGCGTAGATAGTTACTGCTGGGACCGGCCATGTATCTGTACAAAAAAAAGTTTATTGTTTATATACAATCGTTCATAGCAAAATACTCGCACCGTGATATCAACTAAACTATTACACCATACGCACCTAAACGTGTTTACTGCTTCCTGGGCTCATAACCTGCTGCATACAAGTAAAACAGTGGATTTTAGGAACAATACTAACACACGCGTCCACTGTAGGCACGCTCTGCTGTATGTTTATTTTATGACCTTAGACATTATAGTAAGGAACGTTATACAGGGATTTCGCACTTACCTTAATACTTACCACCTCTGGTTCGACAGGATTGCTGATACCTGTAGCTTTAGAGAGGAAAAATCCATAACTCAGCGGACTCAGCCTTCCCCCCTGGCGCTTCCTCAAAGCCGAAAACTATCAGCCTGCTTGGGGTTGATCTTTCACGGTTTTGTGGAAGACTGGAAGAGACACCAGGTGCCTATCCTTTCCTAGGAATTCTGCGCTTCCAAGCACTGCCTTACCCCCTCCAGGTTCTTATAGGTTCCTCCAGGACTACAGTCTTGCAAGGAATGGTGTTGTTCTCGCTCGCTCGAGTACCACCGGCTCCTGAACGACCGTGCGTGCTAGAGTAGTGTTTTTAAGGGTGAATAACCAAGAACCTTGGCCAGGCCAGGTGTTTTTCCACTATCTCCGCCTGGTTAGCCGTTTGCTTACCTAGGGGGTTATTGATGGTATTTATGATTGCTACTTTGAGTTGCCTCTTGGCGCTTGCTTGTAGTGCTTCAGTCTTGCTGGCACCCACCTTGGATCGGGGCTGTGGTTTGCCCTTCTTTGCCGGCGCTTGGGTAGATGTTGAATCATCCCAATCCCACCTCTGTTCCTTATTCTCGTCACCTACTGATAAACAATAGCGACCTTTTTAATATCCAATATACCAATTTTCAAAGCGTTATATGTGCACATACGAATAGACAGACAGACAACCAGCAGTACAAAATTATAAACGATCTCGAGGATCGTCAATAAATATGAAGTGAAGGCGGCTAGGGACAGGCCATTCAAAATTTAAGCTGCGCCTACGCAAATAATTATATAGGCAACCAATCGTGCAATTCGACAAGCTTCACCAGCCAGGCATAAGCTACCTGCAAATGACCTCATCTTCCTACAATAAAACCAGATTCCAGACCCTCATTAGCGGCTATTCAACAAAAGTAACTGATTTATGGAATTTCAACTTTCTCCTGATGTTTTACAGTTTTACTAATACTGGAAACCATTGAATATAGAATAGGAAGTCAAAGCTGAAAGCTATACATACCTATATAAAAATATTACTATGTATTACTTTCTAAGATATCATTCCTACTTACTTCCTATATAGGGATTTACAATAATGACTTTTTGAGATTTGGACTTGGGTAATGAAGGGAACAATTTCCGAAACAAGAAAAACTGGTCTTCAATTTTTGTGGTTCATAGCACAAATTTATTTAAACAATTATCACATCCGATCAAACTACGGCCCCATAGATTTCTAAATTTATATGATAACGATTTTCACAGGTGCGCGGATGTAAGAATGGTACTTTTCTTCAATTAGATGAACAGTTTTCGATATTTCGCATGGCTTCCGCAATGTAGCCCGGTATTTGCTGCGTTTTCAACCTTCCCCCATTTATCAAATTATATATCTGAATTTCGATCTAATTTACAACAAAATAAATGACTCATTTTTCATTACAAAAAATGTTTTAATAGATTTTCGGAAATTTTCCAATTCCAACACGACATTCGCCTGATGCTTTACGAAAATAGTTTATTTGGCTAGCCGTCAAACCTACAAATTAACAATTATCAAAAGCATAGGTAGATTAAAAAATTATCAAAGTCCTCGTGTGGGATCGAAGGGAGATCAGCGCATTTTTGTGTGGCAGATCAGTATTGTATTAGCCACCATCAAGAAGATCTTGTCGCAAGCTAACACATTCCCTTTGTCGGTACCCGCTTCTGACGTCCCCTTCACCCACAATTCGCATTTAGATGAATTTTGCTAAAAACTCTCCACAAAATAGTTCTCAATTTTTGGGGCACTTCTCATAGCTCTATTAGCCACACGAGAAAGAGAGATCGCGATTCGAGTTTTCAGAAACAAAATTCGCAGAGGAAGATACCTTTTGGGCGTCCTAAGTCAACTACCCCTCGCAGACGTGCGCCTTGTATAATGAGGTTAATTTCGTACCCAGGAAAAAAACAAATTTTCGCCACGCAGTTGTTGTGTCCGTTCACAAGATCTTTCCAACGGCACCATTTTGAAAACAATCTGAAAACTGATGGTGGAGTAAAAACTTCAAACTCGAATTGCGGGTGAGCGAGACGTCGGAAGTGGGTACCGAGAAAGGGGATGTGGTGGCCTCCGCCAAGATCTCATACGAGGACAATTTTTTACTAACGACATGCTGAAATAAAAAATTATCACTTGTAATACTACTAGTGCTTGCTATTTCCGGAAACTTTTCGAGCTCACAAATATTTGAACTTTCGCAAAATATTCGTGAGCAAGAAAAAAATTCTATTCAAGCACTGTGGTATTCGGTAAGAAAATTTCACACCATAGTGACCCTCAACGAAAAAGTGACGTTTTATGTCTAAACATTATTACCTTTTTACGTCAAAAAATTGACGATAAATTCCTTGGTTGCCATGAAAATGTGACACGAAATCCGCATTTCATTGGTCAACAAAATTGCTGGTTGAAATTTTCGTTGAGATTTATCACCTAAAGTATGTAAGACACAAGATTATCAATTTTTGTATGAACAGTTTTTTAACAGAGCTGCTAGATTCAAGAAGGTGCCGACAACAAACAATTCGTTATGTTTATCTATAATAGGTACATCGTCCAAATTGTACATAATTTCTATGTAATCGATATTATTAAATTGCTTTTTGATAAGTAGGTAACAATACACCTACATCAAATGTATGAAAAAAATGTATGAAACGGGTCTAAAAAAGTAAAACGTTGTTACTCCTAAATATTACATTTATTGACGTACAATATTTTTTTAATTATCGGTCAATTATCGTTGGTATAGACGAATAAATGGAAGGCATTGAGATTCTTTTGTTACTGGTCTAATAGGGTCATAAACCATTGTATATAAGTATAATGGTCATTAGGTGTTAATATTTTCCAGGTAAATGTGCTACCTGAGTTGCCTATCGTCATTGTATGGAAGGTATTGCATTTCTTCCGTCGCTATATTTTATATAAACTTTTGAGTAAAAATTACGTTTTATTTCATAATTTGAAGCAGTTCGTAATATATTTTTTGGGATTATTTTTTTGTTCGTTCATAGTAATACATTATTATGCTTTGCGAGGGGCATGCACATTACACAGTCTGAAGCCTCTGAGGATTAATCTGCTTCTAGAAATAAGGGGTTTACACCGTTGAGTGATTCACTCAACGTTTACACCAACTAAAAGGGTGCTACTTCAATAGCGGGGAAAATTACAACCCGTGTACGTGAGACTTTAGATGAATTTATTTACTTCCCAGGAACCTCGCAAGTTATAGTATAAATCATAAATTTGTTTTATTTATGCTAAAAATAATACAAATAGTAGCGCACTCGAATTCAGCCTTCAGCGTCATCTTTTGAGTACTAAATAGTTTTAGGCTAGAGCAAACTTCAGAGTATAGATTCGTTTGTGTATGTTATGCCGTTGCGTGAGTGGTAGTATGGAAGTGTTGGTGCCAAAATGGCAGAAACTAGACAGCAACTTCAACTGCGACTCGCAGGTAAATGACATTTTATATATTTTTACAAAGTGATAGGTGCACTTTTAACGTGTAGGGAATGGTGACGGCAGTTCTGTTTGATATATTTTTTGTCATATTGTTATATAACTAGAGGTTTAACCATCTGTAGGTTATTATGTGTAAAGGTTTCGCTAAATATTTGTGTTCGATATTAATTTATCGGCTATAAGAAAGTGCCCTTATTCTAATTAACGGTTTTCTTACTATCCCTATACTACGCTGGGATGAAATTACTGTGTTGATGACCTTT